TGGCTAGTGGTGTTAGTGGTGGCGGTGGCGACGGTGGTGGTGTTGGTGTTAGTGGTGGTGTTGGTGGTGGCGACGGTAGTGGTGTTAGTGGTGGTGTTGGTGGTGGCGACGGTAGTGGTGTTGGTGGTGGTAGTGGTGTTGGTGGTGGTGTTGGTGGTGGTAGTGGTGTGGTGGTGGTGGCGACGGTAGTGGTGTTGGTGGTGGTAGTGGTGTTGGTGGTGGTGTTGGTGGTGGTAGTGGTGTGGTGGTGGTGGCGACGGTAGTGGTGTTGGTGGTGGTGTTGGTGGTGGTGTTGGTGTGGTAGTGGGTGGTGTTGGTGGTGTTGGTGGTGGTGTGGTGGTGGCGGTGGTGTGATGGTGGCGACGGTAGTGGTGTTGGTGGTGGTGTTGGTGGTGGCGACGGTAGTGGTGTTGGTGGTGGTGTTGGTGGTGGCGACGGTAGTGGTGTTGGTGGTGGTAGTGGTGTGGTGGTGGTGTTGGTGTTGGCGACGGTAGTGGTGTTGGTGGTGGTGTTGGTGGTGGTGGTGGCGGTGGTGTTGGTGGTGGCGGTGTGGTGGTAGTGGTGTTGGTGGTGGTGTTGGTGGTGGTAGTGGTGTTGGTGGTGGCGACGGTAGTGGTGTTGGTGGTGGTAGTGGTGTTGGTGGTGGTGTTGTGTTGGCGACGGTAGTGGTGTTGGTGGTGGTGTTGGTGGTGGTGGTGGCGGTGGTGTTGGTGGTGGCGGTGTTGGTGTGTAACCCCTCACCCAGCCTCCGTGCTCCATGAGCCAGCTTCTGCGTTCGACCAGCAGCACAGCGGCCACCAGGTCCGTCAGGGGCCGCGTCTTCTCCGAGTCTCCCAGCCGCCCGCAGGCCCCGAGACTCTTGACGAGCAGCGCGCAGTACAACCACCGCGGACAGGACGCCGTCCCAGCTCAGGGGCGCTCCGTTGAAACCTTCCAGGCCATGGTCATGACCAGCCGGCGCGGCTCCACTCGCTTCGCCCAGCCGCTCCGCGCCGCTCACAAAGTCCGGGATGGAGGCTTCGAACTCCGCCAGCAACACGTCCCCTCGGGTGTCGAACGCCTCCTGCAGCCGCTCCGCACGCAAGCCGCACCAGCCGCTGGGAGGCTCTGCAAGCTGCGCCCCGGCCTCACGCACCTGCCGCTGGAGTTGATGCACTTGCCGCCGCAGCTCCTGAAGGTCCTCGAACTGCTGCGACTGCTCCAGATGCTCCTGTTGCATTAGCTGCAGCTGCTCGAACCGATGCGTCAGCTGCTGCTCCTGCTGCTCCTGCACTTCCTGTAGCAGCTGCAGCAGCTTCTGCAGCTGCTCCTGCTGCTGCAGCTGCTGCTGCTGCACAAGCTCCTGCTGCTGCAGCGGCTCCTGCTGCTGCACAAGCTCCTGCTGCTGCAGCTGCTGCACAAGCTTCTGTTGCTGCTGCAGCTGTTGCACAAGCTCCTGTTGCCGCTGCACCTTCTGGAGCTGCTCCTGCACCTGCTGCACAAGCTCCTGTTGCCGCTGCACCTGCTGGAGCTGCTGCTGCACCTGCTGCATGTGCTGGAGCTGCTGCTGCCAGAGCGTCTCCGCCCGCTGCCGCTGCTGCTGCTGCGCCAGCTCGAGATGTCGCTGCAACTCCGGGAGCTGCTCCTGCACCTCCTGAAGCTGCCGCTGCTGCTGCTGCAGCAGTCGCTGATGCACAGGCTGCTGCTGCTCCTGCTGCTTGTGGAGCTGCCGCCGCTGCTCCGGCTGTTGCGTCAGGTGAGCTACGTAGCCGGTGATTAGATCGACGGTCATGACGGTCAGCAGCTCCATCGCTTCATCATCTTCCTCCTCCTCCTCCTCGCCGCCACCGACCCTCGCCTGAATCTCCCCCGCAGAATGCGACGCGGCTTGGGCAGAGGCCGCAGGCTGCATGGCGGTGTAGGCCTCAGTGGCGGGAATTGACGTCGTTGTTGCTGATTCCGCTGCCGCTGCTGCTGTGGGAGGGTCGTTGATGTCGCGAGGCAATTGAGGTGGAGGAGGTGGTGGAGGTGGTGGTGGAGGTGGAGGAGGTGGTGGAGGAGGTGGTGGTGGCAACTTCGCGACTCGCTGGGAGCTGATGGCGTCTCCCTCCATTGCGATTTGGTTCTCGGTGATGGCGTCGGATCGATCCATGGATCGAGAGCAATCGATTCCTCCATGCGATAACGTTAGAATCGACTTCGATTGCAAGCCGTCGGTCGATTCTGACCTCGATTCACGATCCGCACGGGGGGGGGGTCACAGAGACCCATAGACTAATCTTAATTTTGGAGCTTTCGTGACTGCAGGAATTATTCTTTGGTTCTTTCGGTCAAGTCACGTCTAAAGATAAAATAATGTTATTTAATTTATAAAATAATGATTTATTAATTTTATTATTTTATCTTTCGGTTAAGTCACGTCTAAAGATAAAATAAATGTTTTAATTAATAAAATATTTATTTTATTACTTAATCTTTCGGTTAAGTCACGCCTAAAGGTAAAATAATAATTTTAAAAAAATTTATTTCATTATTTTATCTTTCGGTTAAGTCACGTCTGAAGATAAATGAAAAATTTATTTAATTTATTAAATACTAAATTATTTTATTTCTTATTTTATCTTTAGACGTGACTTAGCCGAAAGAACCCATAGAATACTGTAGAGAAAAATAATAAGAAATATATGAAATTATTATTAATAAATAACATTATTAATCACGACGTGCAGTTACTTTGCTGCCTTTTTACACCTGACGAAGGCAGCTTGTGTTGCCCCCGAAACGTCGTGATTTATTATTTTATTTATATTATTTCTATTATTTTTTTATTTTCATTTTTTATTTTACGGCCAAAAACAGTTGACTATTATCTGAACCGGTCGTGGGCCTCCCAAGGTCAACTCGGCCTAAAAGTAGTCCCTGGTGCGGGGCGGCGATCATCACTCCGTAGTGAGAGAGAGAGAGACAACCAGCTGTGCCAAAGATTTATTAATAAACGACTTGAGTTCTTAGCGTGTCGGAGACACGTATTACACCTGTATGGGTCAGTGTGGTGAGTCTGTGGGTCTCTGTGTGGTGAGTCTGTGGGTCTCTGTGTGGTGAGTCTGTGGGTCTCTGTGTGGTGAGTCTGTGGGTCTCTCTGTGTGGTGAGTCTGTGGGTCTCTGTGTGATGAGTCTATGGGTCTCTGTGTGATGAGTCTGTGGGTCAGTGTGGTGAGTCTGTGGGTCTCTGTGTGGTGAGTCTGTGGGTCTCTGTGTGGTGAGTCTAAGGGTCTCTGTGTGTGAGTCTGTGGGTCTGTGTGATGAGTATATGGGTCTCTGTGTGGTGAGTCTATGGGTCTCTGTGTGTGAGTCTATGGGTCTCTGTGTGGTGAGTCTATGGGTCTCTGTGTGATGAGTCTATGGGTCTCTGTGTGGTGAGTCTATGGGTCTGTGTGTGAGTGAGTCTATGGGTCTCTGTGTGAGTGAGTCTATGGGTCTCTGTGTGAGTGAGTCTATGGGTCTCTGTGTGAGTGAGTCTATGGGTCTCTGTGTGAGTGAGTCTATGGGTCTCTGTGTGAGTGAGTTTATGGGTCTCTGTGTGAGTGAGTCTATGGGTCTCTGTGTGAGTGAGTCTATGGGTCTCTGTGTGAGTGAGTCTATGGGTCTCTGTGTGAGTGAGTCTATGGGTCTCTGTGTGAGTGAGTCTATGGGTCTCTGTGTGAGTGAGTCTGTGGGTCTCTGTGTGGTGAGTCTAAGGGTCTCTGTGTGTGAGTCTGTGGGTCTGTGTGATGAGTCTATTGGTCTCTGTGTGGTGAGTCTATGGGTCTCTGTGTGTGAGTCTATGGGTCTCTGTGTGGTGAGTCTATGGGTCTCTGTGTGATGAGTCTATGGGTCTCTGTGTGGTGTGTCTGCTTCCGTCTCCTGGCCCGGCACGCGGCGCACACCACGACGGTCAGCGGCACCATCGCGGCCACCGCGGCGATCGCGGCGATCGCGGCGCTGACGAAGGGGCTCTTAGTCGTCGTGTCGAGCGACTCATCTTCTGACGAGGAGCGGCCTGGGGGGGGGGGGGGGGTCACGAGAGTCGCACGGCCACAAGCGACGACTCTTCGTGGACGATAAAAACACTGGCACCGCACCGAGGTCACTGCCGACCCCGTGGGATTGATGCGTCTTCCGTGACCGGCGGCCGCCGTCGATCTGGCTGATACGCGGACCCCCCCGGGGACGTGACAAGCCATCGCCGCCATCTTGTGCACAGCGATCCAACTGGCTGCGTTGAAGCTGTTCCCATAAAATGAAAAAGTTCGTGGACTTTTCCCACAAATGTTACTTCTAATTGCGCAGCAAATGGACGCGACCACGGGGAGAGAGACACGCAAACAACAGACGTACGGGCATCGCCAGGGTCAGGATCGAACCCGCAAACTCCTGTGTACCGGGCGAGGTAGTTAACATTTTGGCGTCACTGCGATCGTGGCGGGAGGGAGGAGAGGAACTCACCGTCATCAGCGTTGGCACCTCCGCCGCTGGCTGGTGGCGTGCGTGCTGACGGTGTCCTCACGCCGTAGTAGTGGTGCCGAGTGGTTGTGGTGGCGCTTGTGGCGACTGTTATGGTGGTGGTGACGGCGGTGGTGGTGGCGACGGTGGTGGTGGCGACAGTGGTGGTGGCAGCGGTGGTAGTGGCAGTGGTGGTGGTGGCAGTGGTGGTGGTGGTGGTGGCAGTGGTAGTGGTGGTGGCAGTGGTAGTGGTGGTGGCAGTGGTGGCGGTGGTGGTGGTGGTGGAGCCCCAGAGACCTGTGCCGTCCAGTGGCACGGCTCCCGGCTCCGAGCTGCTGCTGCTGCTGCTGCTGCCGCTGGCGACTGTAGGGAGGGGGCAGTTACCAACGGGGGGGGGGGAGGGGGGGGAGAGAGCAGCGAGCGATGGGCAAACCAGTCGGAGTGTTTCTAGGCGGCAAAGAAGCTCCACTAGGGGGGGATGCGTGAGAGAAGGGGGGGGGGGGGGCACGAGCGTGCTGGAGCGGAGAGGGCAGCCGGCCGGCCGGCGATGCTCTTGCCGACCTTGTACGTAGAGGCGCGCCCGCAGTTGCTCGTGGTGCAGCTTGTTGACCGCAAAGCACGTGTACGTGCCCGAGTCGCCAGGCGACACGCTCCAGATGAGCAGCGTGCCGTTGGCCAAGGTTTGGTGGCGCTCGCCCGCCAGGGGTCCGGCGTAGTCGCCCTTGAACCTGGCGGTGCGCGGCGCAAGCAAAGAGGGGGGGGGAGCCTTGACGACTAGTAAGCGGCGAAACTATTTTTAAATCCTTTATATTAAGTTCACTTGCTTGCGCGCTTACGACCGTGCAAAACTTTCGGTCGTTTTTTAACCCACTTCCCGTGATCCAATCGAGCTGACATTTTGCACACAGACTCGTTGTGCGTGACAATGTATTTTCGTGAAAATTTTTTCTCCAAAATTTTCCACTTTTTAGGAAAAAACTATTTCACTAACACAATCGTATATTTTTCCTAAACACAGAAAATTATTCAAGAAAATAACAAAAATGTACAATATAAACAATCATACAAAAACTGAAAACCTTATAATCCTTATATATGACTTTCCTTATATTTAATTTAAAATACCAATGTGATAAAAATGAAACTCTTACTCAAGAAAAACAGAAATGAATAATAAAATAAAACCGATGCCCCACATATAAAGGATTTATAGTGAAAAACTTTGTTTTCACGGGTTAATTTTTTCTTCTTGGTTCTTTCGGTAAAGTCACGTAGAAGGGAAATAATAAAATGATAAAAATAAAACACAATAAAATCGAATTCTCACGACGTTTTGGCCACAACGCAAGCAGCCATCCTCAGGTGAAGAACAGGTCTGTCGGGGAGACAGCATCTGAATGAAACACCGCCAGGCTTGGCAGCGTATATTTAAGCTAGGCGCTCTTCCCCCTCCAACCAGGACCCCATTCAAACAACAACAACAACGACAACAGCAACAACAAAGAGTGCTTAGTTCACGGAGAGAGTAAAGTAGCCGGGCCAGCGTCGCTCTCACCACAGGATGTTGGGACGCGGCAACCCAAACACGGCACAGTCCAAGTGCGCGGCCTGTCCCTCTGTGGCCGTGTACAGCCTGTCCGGCGGCGACAGCATCCGTGGGGCCACGGCTGAGGGAGAGGCAGGGGGGGGGGGGCAGGCAGAGAAGTTCAAGTTCATGTAGTAGGTGTGGAGCCCTGTGAGCCATTCGGCTCTTGAATCTGGTGCAACCGCAACAAACACAAAACAAAAACATGAACAAGAAAACATCTTAAAGTGACTATGTGACTGAGTGCAAACAGAAAATCCAAGAAAAGACAGCAACATATTGCAGAGAAAATCACCGTACACCAACGCTGTGTGCAAACATCCCAGTGGGATGCAAGTCAAACAACAACAACAACAACAACCACAAGACAACTTAGAAGGGAGCAGGGGGAGGCAGGGGAGGGAGGGAGGGTTGCTGGGTTAGAGGAATGTTGTGGGACCACAGCAGAGATGCCACCAGGTGAAGGAGGAGGGGGTGGTGGTAGCAGGAGTTGACGAGGGAAAGTTCAGGAGGGAAGCGAGAGAGAGAGAGGAGATTGGAGAATGAGGAGAGCGAATCAGCAAGTGGAAGGAGCGGAGGGAGAGCGGTGGGAGACACTGAGCGGTCATCCCTCCACAAAATACAGGAAGTGGACTCACACAGAGACCCACAGACTCACACAGCGACTCATAGACTCACACAGAGACCCATAGACTCACACAGAAACCCACAGACTCACACAGAGACCCACAGACTCACACAGAGACCCATAGACTCACACAGTGACTCATAGACTCACACAGAGACCCACAGACTGACACAGAGACCCATAGACTCACACAGTGACTCATAGACTCACACAGAGACCCACAGAATCACACAGACCGATAGACCACACAATCTCACAGAGTCTCATAGACTTACACAGAAACTCATAGACTCACACAGAGACCCACAGACTGACACAGACCCACAGACTGACACAGACCCACAAACTCACACAGCAACCTATAAACTCACACAGCGACCCACAGACTCACACAGCAACCTATAAACTCACACAGAGACCCACAGACTCACACAGCGACTCAGTCGTCCTTCCCCCG